TGGACTTGCACAAATTATGTGCAACTAATCACTACAAGACGCTACAGCTTGCTACCTGTGTAGCTTACTGTATGGGCAGCCATTTGTTCCATATGCTACACCTAGGGATTATACACTCACAATTTTAGCAGCAAGATTGAGCTACTTAAGTCTCCTGTGTCATAATGAAGTGACTGCCAGCAAGTGGTTTAAGCAGTATTATTCCCAAAAACAAAAATGTAATATATTGCAGCTTACCAATTCTTAGATGTGATGGCTGCATTATTTTGTCTTTTTTAAATTTATTTTCAGCTGGCTGGTAAGTCTGTTATTTTTCAATTTCCTTTAACAGACCAAGCTGTCCAGGAAAAGTGACAGCTGAGATAATCAATTTGACACAGACGGGTGCTTACATTCACCAGTTTTTATTCATTTATGTAAAACTTTTATCCAAAAAGGAAAAAAAAATTGCTGTAACTGATTACAAAGTGTTAGGATTAGTAAACTGTAATTTATTAGGTTTTGGAGTTAATACTGCTTTTCATTTCTTAGCAGCAAGAGGTTAAAATTGCCCACACAGCTCTAGCATTGTATCGCCTAAACAGAAAAACTCTTTTATGAATGCATCTCATTTGGAGAGCTGCTTATCAGTCAAACATGATAGTGATCTCTGTGTCCAGTGAGCTTGTAGGTGATTCCCTTATTAGGTTAACTGGATGATGCAATATAACACAATTATATGGTGTCACAGAAATGGGTCTTCTTCCAAGGCACCACATATATGTACTCCAGCATTTGTGCTGAAAGCATTCTCCAGCATGGAGGCCAAGCTCTCATCCACAGCTTCTGGCCTTGCACTAACAATCCTGACCTGTTAGCCCTAAGTACCGATTTCATGATTGCTGTGATAGCATGTGATTGGCTATCACCATGATAAATCAGTAAAACCCATCCCTTTACTTTGTTTCTTCTCTGTAAGGAGACAAAGTTACATTGTATCTTATTTCTCCAAGCCAGAGGAGAAAATGTGAACAAAAAAAGTCTGTGTATGTAAAAAAATTTAATAAATGAAGATAAAATAGGTATGAGCTGGTTCTAAAACTGTCCATACATGGATCAAAATTTACTGGTTCATCATCCATCGACTGACTAGCGTACAACCAGCCTGGTGGATTTTTTCATATAAAATTACTGGCAGCTACTATAGCCACCAGCAGTAGTCATTGTGTTCTGCCAGCCAAGAGGGTGCCTCCCCAACAGGTAGAACACAATAGCACTGCGGGATGCATCGAGTCATCTATGGGCTACTTTAGTTATTTTCAGATTAAAGGCTAAGGTCAAAGGTCAGGGCCAGGTCAAAAGGAAAGGTTGGTATAGTGTAGGTAGGATTAAAAAAAAATCAAAACCTTTCTTTAGTGTCAGTGTTTTAGGTAGAATAAAAAAAAAAATACACACTATTGTTTCTTGAAAAAAAATCTTGTCTAAAGCTTTAGTGACCTAACATACCTGTAATGAAGGATGTCCTATGTTGTGCAGGCTGTTGGGCCTTATAAATCTTTTGTGTTGAACTTGTGGCATGCAATGGTTAATAGCAATGAGTTCCGTCATGCAGTGGATAAGCTCCTGACTGGAACCCGCTCCCTCCTCCATTGTTCAGAACTTTGTACTATGTAACACATGAATGAAGAATAGAATCTTGTGATTCATCAGACTCCCGCCTTTCACAGATTGTGTTACATGCAGTGAACACTATGAAACAACTTTTCCCAATGAAAAAGGAAGGGGGAGGGGCAGATATTTATATTTTCTGTTTACATTTTATTTATACATATATCTACTGAATAGTATATGTTTCAATCAGCAATTCATTTGGGAACATTTGTTTGAAAAGAAGAAGCTATCCTAAGGCTACGTTCACACTAGCTTTGTCAGCAGGCATCAGACAGGCGTTTGGGAAGTGTTTTTAACACTTCTGAAATGCATATGAAAAATTCTGCACTTGGCAGCACACAGTGCTGTTCACTCTGAAGTGTTAGCGTTGTGTCACGGCAAAAACTGACGTCTCATGTTGAGTCAGGAGCAGTTGAAGCCTCCCATTCAAGTCTATGGTGCCGCTCCTCAAACGCCTGGCAGGCGTTTGTGGGGCGGTTGCGAGGCGGTTGCAGAGCGTTAATATCATTAAGCTTCATTATAGACAAATTTCAGTGCATATGTTGCTGCACCAGCTTGACAGAAGTCCACCATTACACCCCGGTCACATTGGGTGCGACTTGGCATGCGATTTGCATGTCATGCGACTGAAAATCGTATGCCAAGTCACACCCTATTGTCCGCTATTAGAGCGGTCATATCAGTGTGGTTCCGACTTGGTTGAAGCTATACCGATTTCTAAAGTAGTGCATGCACTACTTTTGTTGCGATTTGCATATACATCTGTGTCAGATGTCTTGCAAATCACAGCTGAAATCGCCAGATCACCCGATTATGAAATCGTGCAACTTCACTGTAAGTCGCACAATTTCAAAATCGGCTTTGATGTGACCAGGGGCCAATATCAAGTTCTGTCCACACTTTGCAATAAGTAAATAAATAAATAAAAAACATAAATAAAAGCGCAACCCCTACACCTCAATAATTAATTAAATGAATGAATTAATAAATTATATAAATAAATAACATTAATTAAATTATTCCATCACCGTGCATGTGCACAAATAATATATCATTACTTAAATAATTAAATAATCCCTCATAAAGTCCATTCACAAAAGTCCATATATATTCCAATATGATCCTCAATAAATTAAGTTATGGTATCTTCCTTCACCAATGTGACATCCAGTACTTTAACACCCCATCAGAATACACACTCACCAGATACTGGTGAAAAACCAGCATATCTGTATATAACCAGCACTCCACCACTGAGTTCCAGCTTATGGATATCCGTAATACTCCACAGTAACCATGTAGATAAAAAAGACATTCGCCATAGTGCAAATAACGTTTTCAGATTTATTCCAATTAATTCTCCCCTTAAAACCGCACTCACAATGAATAATAATAAACAGTGTTTGTTACACAAGAGCACAAAGTTTTCTATCCATCGTTTCACCAGCCTGCCTGCAACCAAGATGGCGTTGTTGCGATCACGTGGTAAGGAGCCGAGAATTGGCATGCGTGGTGATAGCCACGCCCTAACGCGTTTCGTCACATGACTTCTTCCGAGGGAGTGGCCAGCAATGAGAGTAGCGTGCTCTTAAAGAGCCGCCTCTGTTTCGATTGGTCAAATTATAGAAACACCTGGGGCGTAAGTTAATGGTCTAAACGGCATTACTAATTGCAATAACAATTAGAACCCCTGCCCTAAACCTATAAAAATGTTTGCAGAAAGGAAAGTTTTTTATTCCTGTAAAAAATGTTCAGCCTGTAATATAGTTAATCATAAATTTAGGGGGCTATTAACATTTACCTCCAAGTCAAATGGGAGAGAATTTGATATCTCTGCCTTTTTGACCTGTGACTCGACTCATGTGGTTTATGGTCTTGAATGCCCATGTGGTTTGATCTATATTGGGAGGACCAAACGACAGCTCAAAGTTAGGGTACTTGAACATTTAAAGAATATTAGTAAGGTATATAAATATCACAGTGTTTCTTTACACTTTAAGAAGTACCATAATTGTAATCCAACGAATATTACATTTTGGGCAATTGAATCGGTACCCAGGGCTTGGAGAGGGTCCAATAGGGTTAGAGAATTATCAAAATGTGAGACTAAATGGATTTATATGACTGAAGCTTTGACCCCGAAGGGACTCAATGTTGAACTGGACTTAAATTGTTTCATTAGTGATTTATGATTTAGTAATTAATTTCCAATTTATTGAATTTATTTTAATATAATTTTTTATACATACTTTTTTTAATTTAATTTTTATATATATAATTTTTTATATATATACATTTTTTATAAATATATATTTTAGTTTGTGTAGTAGTGTTCATTATTCTGATGGAATTTATATTATTATGATGCCATTTTTGATATATTCATTAGTTGAATTGTCATATGTGATTTGTACACAAGATGGTGCTGTTGTGATGATATGGTGGGGTGTTCTAATTGTTATTGCAGTTGAGAGCATTGATTCAGGTGTCTCTACAATTAGTAATGCCGTTTAGACCATTAACTTACACCCCAGGTGTTTCTATAATTTGACCAATCGAAAAAGAGGCAGCTCTTTAAGAGCATGCTCCTCGCATTGCTGGCCATTCCCTCGGAAGAAGTCGTGTGACGAAACGCATTAGGGTGGCTATCCAGTGCGCCACGCACGCCAACTCTCGGCTCCTGACCACATGATCGCAACAATGCTATCTTTGTTGCAGGCAGGCTGATGAGATGCTGGATCGAGAGCTTTGTGCTCTTGTGTAACAAACGCTGTTTTATTATTATTCATTGTGAGTGCGGTTTTAACCACTTGCCTACAGGGCACTTATACCCCCTTCCTGCCCAGGCCAATTTCCAGCTTTCAGCGTTGTCGCAGTTTGAATGACAATTGCGCGGTCAAACAACACTGTACCCATATGAAATTTTTATCATTTTTTTGTGACAGATAGAGCTTTATTTTGGTGGTATTTATTCACCTCTGGGTTTTTTATTTTTTCTTAAACAAACCAAAAACCACTGAAAATTTTGAAAAAAAAAGTTTTTTCTTAGTTTTTGTTATAAAATTTTGTAATAAGTGATTTTTCTCCTTCACTGATGTGCGCTAATGAGGCTGCACTGATGGGCACTGATAGGTGGCACTGATGGGCACTGATGAGGAGGCACTGGTAGGTGGCACTGATGGGCATTGACAGGCATCACTGATGGGCACTGAAAGGCAGCACTGATACATGCCACTGATATATGGCACTGATAGGCGGCACTAACTGGCACTGATAGGCGGCACTGACTGTCACCGTTAGGCGGCACTGACTGGCACCGTTAGGCGGCACTGACAGGCACTGATAGGCGGCACTGATGCGTACTGATAGGCAGCACTGACTGGCACTGATAGGCGGCACTGACTGGCACTGATAGATGGCACTGATTGGCAGCACTGATAGGTGGCACTGATTGGCATTGATAGGGGGCACTGACTGGCACTGATGGATGACACTGAAAGGCAGCTCAGATGGGCACTATGTGGCATTGATGTGCACTGGTAGGCACTGATATGCTCTCAACGTGACAGTTTAAGAGGAGAGAAATGCCGATAACCGGCATTTCCCTGTTTACATGTGATCAGCTGTGATTGGACACAGCTGATCACATGACCGAGCCGACATCTTCGGCTCTTTCCATGATCGGTGATCCACTGTGTCCGAGGGACACAGCGCACCGCTGATCGCCGTGCTGCGTGCTCCCTGAGCCGCGCATGCGCAGTGAGAGTGGGAGGGCGTCATATGACGTCCTCCCAGAACGAGAGAACCACCTTGCGCCCATCATATTACTATATGGCGGGCGGGAGGTGGTTAAGGGGGGAATTAATTGGAATAAATCTGAAAATGTTATTTGCACTATGGCGAATGTCTTTTTTATCTACATGATTACTGTGGAGTATTACGGATATCCATAAGCTGGAACTCAGTGGTGGAGTCCAGGTTATATACAGATATGCTGGTTTTTCACCAGTATCTGGTGAGTGTGTATTCTGATGGGGTGTTAAAGCACTTGATGTCACATTGGTGAAGGAAGATACCATAACTTCATTTATTGAGGATCATATTGGAATATATATGAACTTTTGTGAATGGACTTTATGAGGGTTTATTTAATTATTTAAGTAATGATATATTATTTGTGCACATGCACGGTGGTGGATTAATTTAATGAATGTTATTTATTTATTATTGATTCATTTAATTGATTTAATTAATTATTGAGGGTTGCGCTATTATTTGTGTTTTTTATTTATTGATTTATTTATCACAAAGTGTGGACATTAATTTAGTGGGTATATAATAGCAGCACCAATCTGAATTTATTATCAACATTTATATACATAGGCGCAAGGATTTAATCTGGATGGTGTTTTTGGAAGAATTCAGACACCATTTAAAGGTTGAATTATAAGGTTCATATTGCAATATCAAGTTCTGTCGAATGAGAATGCTGGAAAACTTTTCTTAATCAGCAACTGGTCAGTGTATTCTAACAGAGGAGAATACCACAGTCAGAATTCAATGTCCTGGCAGGGGGTATTCCATCATCTACCTCGCTTGTGTGGATGGAGGAAAACTGTCCATTTTTTTTTTGATCAGCCATATTTTAATATCAATACAAACACATTAAAGCTGAACTTCATTTATGTGTTGTAAGTAGTTACAGCAATGTTTTTTTTTCCTTTTGGAATAAAGGTTTTACATAACTGAATAAAGACGATCATTGTAAGCTACTCTATCAGCAGTAAATGGTTTGTCCTAATCCTCCAACAGCTACTTTGTCTTGACAGCTTGGTCTGTTAAAGTAAGTTGAAAAAAAAAAAAAACTTACTGACCAAATCACCAGGTGAAACTAAAGGAAAGAAGCCTAAAAAAGAAAACAAATGCAGCCATCACATCTAAGAATTGGTAAGCTGCAAGTTTATATTGTTTGGTTTTGGGGTTTAATACAGATTTAATTTCCTCAGCCTTAGCCATGTGTTGTTTATGAGAATGTTTAACATGCTTAATATGCTTGCATATAGGATATCTAAGAAGAAAAAGCACACTGAACATTTTTTTCTCTTAGGACCCAACACTTGCAGCTATTTCTGAAATTACAGAAAAAAAAACACCTGAATGTTGCTCATGGGCTTGCATGGTCTTATTACATTGGCTACCTCAAATTTGTTCTTCCAGGTAGGAAACTGTTTTTTTTTTTTCATATTGTACTTCATAAAAAACCATATAGCAAAGCTGCCAAAGTATCCAGTTCTCAATCTGATATCAAGAGGGAGAGGAGTGACCACACAAAATAACCAAACAAATAATCATAGGTTCAGAATATGTGGTCATAGACTCTTGCACCTAAAGCGGAGTTCCAGCCATTTTTGTGTTTATTAAAAGTCAGAAGCTACAAAAACTGTAGCTACTGACTTTAACCTCCCTAGCGGTATTCCCGAGTGTAGCTCGGGGTAAAATGTCAGTACCAAAAGCGGTAACCCCGAGCTACACTCGGGCTTACCATGCGGTGCTGCATAGGGATTCCCTGCAGAGCTTACCTTGTCCTGCGCTCCCGCGATGTGTCCCCTGCAGTGTCCCCAGCCAGCCATCTCCTCCGGTCGATGCCGGCATCCGGCTTCTGTGTTCCGGTCCCTGTGACGTTGGGACGTATGGGCGCCGGCGGCGGTGGGAAATTTGAAAATTTTAAAAAATGTCATTTTTTTCCAAACAAATTTTACATAGTAAAATATTGCTGTTTCAACCCATTTAACATACATTTTGTCCCTAGTGCTTTGTCCTGTGCCCTGCCTGCATTTTGACTGTTCTTTTTGCCTGGAAACTGAGAAAAGTCCATGGCGTCCAAAAAGTATCCCTTAAGTCAAAAGCGGGTTTAGATCAGCTAGAGAACAGCGATAGTAAATTAGAACCACTTGCAGAATTGAGTGATAATGATTCGTGGGGAAATTCGTCATCAGACACTGAAAACGATTTTGTGACTTTGCTCAGCGATGTGCGAACTTGGCGCTCTATTTCAAATTTCAGTGTTTTTGGTTTGATTATATTATTGAATTAAATGTATTATTATTATATTATTATTATTTTTTTTTGATTATTTATTAAATTATAATTTATGATTTCGTGTTTCAAATTTTATCATACCCGGGATGTTTAATAGACTCTTGTTCAGACAGATTTCAGTGAGTTATTCCTAAAACTTACAGCCTACAAAAAAAAAACTACATATTTCCATGCAAAATAATGGTACCGCTTTCAGCACCAAAAATCTGAAATAATCATACCGCTAGGGAGGTTAAATAAACACAAACTTACCTTTTCCAGAGTCCAGCGATGCTCTCACCCTTCTCTCCTCCCCAGCACCAGCATCTCAACTGTGGGCACCAGGCTGTGACAGCTTGCTGCTTCACAGCCTGGTGCCCACTGCGCATGCGCAACTCATGTTGCGCCTCCTGATTGGTCTGGCAGTCTTCTTCGACCTGTGAAAGTTCCCAGGAGACTGCGGGAGGGAGGAGGGAGCCGAACTTCCGGGTCACTTCGCCGCGGTGAACTGGTAGTTCATTGACTCTTCCTGTCAGTGTGAAACTGCCTGCCTGTACGATGTACAGACAGACAGATTACACTGACAGTCTGCTGGAGTCCTGCATGGCTCCAGTGATCTGCTGATCGCTGGTGCAATGCTTTACAGGTGTCTATTACAAAAAGAATAAATAAATGCCCTTTTTTTCCCTGCAAAAATATATATATATGTTTTTAATGTGAACTTATCCTTTAACGGAGCAGACAATGGAGCTTGACTGGCTGCTCAGCATGCTCTTGTACCGAGCGGTCAAGTAAATAATGGTAAAAGTGAGTGCTGACTAAAAAGAAAGAAGCTGTGCACTCTAAGCAACCAATGTACACTTATAAACAGAATAATAGAACAGTGCAGCACTTGAGGGAAATATGAACAGATAAAATATAAATGAAAATACTGATAAAAAGTCTATATCGTAATAATCGTGCCAGGTGACTGGTAGCAATCAATGGTAGTGCTCCATGAAGAATAGCAGAAATGCGCACTCACCAGAAAGTAAATAAATATGAGCGGGTGTATATCATATCCCGAGGATCCTCATCAGAAAAAAGGTCTGGTCAGAATGGGTGAATCCTCCCTCCGGGTTGCATTCAGAACTCGCCCAAAGGTAAACTAGAACAGATCCAGGTAACAAGAGGTCTCCTAATACAGGATGGATGGAAGAGGTTGCCTGTATACAGGAGGTCTTCCTCCCCTTGGTATGGTGCCTAGGATCGTGGTAACGGGCTCTGCAAATAAAGCTCCTCTCAAGGAGTCAGGGAAGGACGCCCATAGTGTAATATGATAAAAAAATTGCTTTATTGTATACAGAGTAGCGGTTAGTAAACATAAATCATCCAGTAAACTAACCCTAGGAGATTCAAAGATGGCCACCGGGCCTCCACGTGGCTCCGGCGGCGTAGCGTCATGACGTCCGGGCTCCTCCACGTGGAGGCCCGGCGGCCTTAAGTATTTGCGCATGCGAGGGTAACCTGAAGGAATAAAGTTTTTTTTTTTCTCATTGGGATCAGCGCCTCATTTACTCACTAAGCAAATGCACTTCTGCTGAGCATTAAGAGAGCCTGACACTCCCCTTTCCTGATGAGCACTCAATCGGTGCTCATTACAAGGTGTCTCCCCTCCCTGCTAGTCCTTGGGTGAGGTGCTGGACAGAGGCAGGGAGGTGAGGTGGAAATAAACAGTGCAATGTCAATATTAAAAGTTTAAGTCGCCATAAAGCCCCTTTTGTTTTATAAAGCCCCAGATATTCCTAAAAGCACCTCAGATTTAAATATGGCTTGGTTAGAATTATTATTTTTTTATCAGGACAAGTAGATTGTCATGAGGGATAAGTAGATTGAAATGCCGATTTAGTCCCTTGGACAAGTAGTTTTTTAAAAAATTCCCACACCCCTAAGGGGTCCATGAGGTGTTGTGTAAAGCTGGACACACTTGTGATGCATTTGGTAGACAGTTGTGCAGATATCGTGCAACATAACAAATTGCAACTTTTTTATTCTACAGTGTCTCTGTTTTTCAGAACATATGTATGTTTATAAGCGGGTCTAAGTCATTTTATGTCCAAAAATGCTGATTTTTACAAGCGTGCAAAAAATGGATAAATGCTCTAGAGCAAAACTGGTTAAATGTCCAATTACTGCAGATGCCTTTCACGTGACTGGATAATTGAAGTAAATTTTCACACAGTTTTTTGAAGTGGAACTAAATCCTCCTATCTTTTCCAACCAAGGAAGCTGCCATCTTAGCATCTGTTTGATCTGCAGTTGTCATGGTGCTGCACATGTGATCAGTGATAACACCAGCCATTTGATAGCTTGACAGTTTGGTTATGAGATAATATAAGCACATTGGCAACTGTGACAGTTACCACTCAGGCATAACTTGAACGTAACTGTTTTAAGAAACGGATAAATTGGAGGGTTTAGTAAATCAGCTCAAGAGTATCAGAGGGCTGTTTCTGTTGACAATCATTGACATTATAGCTTTTGTTTTGTCTGCAATCAAGTGTGTTTATATGCAATAATAGGATGTCAGATTTAGATTTCTTTTATGTACATCCAGGGACACAAATTCACAAAGATAAAATTTTGTTGACACCTTGAGGTGATGAAAACTGAAAAAAAGGAAAGACAGGACATCACCTCCCAGAT